TGCAGTGGAACCCACAAGGAGCACGAGGCAGGGGTAGGCCACGGGAAACAGGGAGGAGATGCGTGGAAAGGGACATGAGAGAGATGAAGCTCACTTGGAACGAGCTTGGAAGGATGGCTCAGGACAGAGATAAATGGAAGGAGCTTGTATGTGGCCTATACCCTGCCAGGGGTGAAAGGCATTGATGATGAAAGCACATAGAGCTTGCTGTTGAGCGGAAGTTTGCGCTAAACGAATGCTAACTGTTGTGATTGTGAATTGAAAAAGATGAGAAAGTCTGGTTTGTTTCACAAAGCCACGTTTGTTTCCTGTACCTTGTCTTTTTTTGTTTTTTTGGTAAGTGTTTTACGGTGTTCTCAGCTGCATAAGGTCATATGAGTGTTGTGCGTAACACATTAAACTTTTTCAGTTGGTAGGAAATTTTGAATTTTGCGCAGGTGGCGGCCGAAGCCTACTCTTATCGATTTTTTACAACCAAGGGATTTTTAACGTGTGCAACTTGCACACGGGCCCTCCGAGATTTTTCGCCCTTGTCCGAGAAGGCTTGGTGTAGATCTTTCCCACCAGAAGATCAGGGATGTGGCAGAAAGACAGCAGTAAGAAGGAGCCAAGGAGTAGCAGTAGAAAGGCTGCAGAAAGAGTCAGGAGCCCAGAGGAGGGGGCAAAGGAGGTTGGGGGAGGGGGACAGAAAATGGAGATGAAAGGAGACGATAGAACATTGTTAGAGAGTAGGAAAGGAGGTGAAAGGAGACAATTTTAGAGAATAAGAAAATTTTCTCTCACTCTCTGAATTCTAACCCGCGACCTTCGTGGCGTCTGATGCTAGTACACATAGCAGTATGGTGGCCTAGTGGTTAGGCTACTGGGCCCGATATGGTAAGATTGCGGGTTCGGGAGTTGGAGCCTCAGCTCCCATCCGACGTTGTATCCTTGGTAAAGGCACTTTTAGTTTTAGTTCAGTAAGAATTTTACGGCACTCGCAACTGTATATGGTCATATTATGAGCACGCAAAAAGGCACTTTAAACGAATTTTCTGTTTGGCTCAGTCCTTTCGGAAATGGTTGTTTGATTCTGAAACAATCTACAGTGGAGTCCACTTATAACGAGTCCGGAAAAAAACGAGAAGTGTGTTTTAAAGACACTATTCGAAAACCCTGTTTTTTCCTCTTCTTTATCTTTGTAAATAAAATACCGCTATAGCGCTATCAGACAAACATGAGAGTCGGTTATAGCGGAATATTGCTGCTGCTGTGCACAGTGCATAGGCCATTTGTACATCTTGTAAAACCTCGCCAGTCGAGAAACTTGTTGATCTAGCGAAACAAAGAATTGGAGAGCCAATATGTGTCAACAATGAAGGCCGGAGCGACTGAGTAAGGAGGGTGTGGCATGCGCAGACAAGCAGAACACATTGCGTGATAGGCCAGCGTAAGCCTAGTTAAGATTATCAAGGTCTACCATGCCTCTCACTTCTCTGATGCAGGGATGGAGAGAGGTCACAGCAATGTGATGGATGGAGCGAATGTGAGACGTGTGCAAGTTGACGGAACGCACCGCAGGGTGTGGTGGG